AAGCTGCCTCGGTGGACACCGTGCGGTATCCGCGTATGGCTCTGACCGCCAATATCCTCTGGGGGCGCCAGAGGCGCGCCCTATTCGGGGCGGTCAGAGCCGCCACCCACACCGGTGCACCATAAAGCGCCATGGACCGGACAACCCCCGCGTACAGCCGCCTCGTGGGAACATTGGCCCCGCCCAAATTGGGCAAAAGTCGCCCTAGGGCGGAGGCAGTGTCCACCAGCTTCGGACCAAGCTGTCGGAAGTGCTCGTCGAAGAGCCACCTACCGTCTAGGACCAGACCCAGGTACCTCATCTGAGAGGTCCTAGGACAGACCCCTGCGGAACACCACACGACATGGCCCTGCGTCTCAAGACGCCATCTCGGTCCTCGTACATGACGGTTCGCTCCTCAAGATAGTCTGCCACCAGCCGCCTCAGGTACTCCGGCACTCCGTGGTAGCGGAGCGCTTCCCTGATGCAGCTGAATGGCAGACTATTGAAGGCGTTGGCGATGTCCAAAGACACCGCCAACACCACTCCGCCGCAGCTCACAGCCTCCTCGGTCACGGCCCTAAGGCGCATCACGGCATCGATCGTCGAACGCCCCTCTCGGAAACCGAATTGGGCATCCGACAGATCGGGGCCAACCTCGCAAAGGTGCCGGACGATGCGGGCAGAGAGCACCCTCTCAAAAAGTTTGCCCGCCTCGTCCAGCAACACGATAGGCCTATAGGCCGCGACCGATTCGGCAGGCCGTCCCGGCTTCTGCAGCTGGACCAGCTTCCCGCATTTCCAGCGCTCAGGGAAGCGTCCGGACGCCAGGCTAGCGTCCAACACCCCCCTGAGGTGGTCCGACATGTAGTCGAGGACTCGGGCCATCACTCGGGCTGGAACCCCGTCCGGCCCGGGGGCAGTGTTCTTGGATCTAATCCGTAGAACAGCCGCCCCCAACTCCGATTCCCTGACGGGCGGAACATCAGCCTCGCTGCCCCCGTCGTCTCCGGCTGATGCAGCCATCGACGGGGGTGTGTGTTCCGCCCGCTGCGGGAATAGGCCCTCGACCACTTCCTGCAGGAAGCTGGGCTGGAGAGTCTCCGTAAGGGGGGGGCCCGACGTGCGGAGCTTGTGACGCACCGCACGATAAGGGCGACCCCAGGGGTCACGCTCGAGACTCTCCAGCATCTCCTCTCTACACGCATCCTTGGCGCGGCAGATGGCCAGCCTCAGAGTTTTCCGAGCTTCTCGGTACTCCTCATGAAGCCGGTCCACCTCCTCACCGACCCCGCACTGACGTCGCCGACTACGGGTGAGGGACCTCCGGGCACGTACACAGGCCGCACGGAGGTCCGCCAACTCCTGGGACCACCAGTAGACCTCCTTCCTTGGAGGCCGACAACCACGAACGCGGGGCATGGCCGCATCGCAAATCTGCGTAATCGCATTGCAGAAGCGACCAGCCTCCATGTCGACCTCCTCGGTCGGGGCCTGCGGAGACAGCCAAGAGTAAATAATGGCCGCCTCCTATAGTAGGTCCCTGTCGAGCTTGGCGATAGCCCACCGCGGGAAGCGGGAAGGGCGCCGCGCCGCGTGACCCCTTCTGGGGTCCTGGGACCGGGAGAGCTCGAATCGGATGTACAAATGATCCGAGAGCGTCTCGACCTCTTCCAGGACACACCAGTTCCTTACTAGGGGTAGCGAACGAAAGGTCCACTATCGACCCCCCCTGCTGTCGCACGCACGTGTTGGTGGAGCCCCTGTTCAGCAAACAGAGGCCCACCGACGCCGCCCACTCCTCGACGGCTTCGCCCCTGGCGTCCGTCGCAGGGGAACCCCACGCAATGGACTTTGCGTTGAAGTCCCCCAGCACGAGGACGTGCCCAGACACTAGTCGCCGCATCGAGGCCTCCAAGTTGTTAAGGAAGACCTCAAAGTCGTTCAAGCTCCGGTTGGGGGAGAAATATACACCATAAATGGTGATTCCCCCCCAATCGGCGGCAACATATCCAGTACCCTTGTCTCTTAGCGATAAGGGCGGGGAATGAGCCGCCGTGGAGCCGACGACTGCCACGGAGCCGTCCCGGTCACCCATCCAGTTTGGACGGGGAGGGACAAAATAGGGCTCCGCGACTATGGCAACACCTATCGACCACTGTGCCATGGTTTGCAGGAAGAGATCCTGCGCCGCAGCACAGTGGTTCAGATTCGTCTGGACCAGGAGGTTGGAGACTTGATTAATTACTGGATCGTCTCTACAACCTCCTCCATGGGCGTCGGCGTCGACGCAATATTGACGTCGGGGGTAGCCTGGGTCGGCAGGCTAGAACCCGGCGTTTACCGAGAAGCGCGGGGAGGCTTGCAGCCCCCCTGCCCCATCTGGTGATTGGCGGGCTTTTTAGCCGCCGCACACACGGGGCAGCGAGGGGCGGCAGAGCACTCTGCCGCCTTGTGCCCGGGTTGACCGCAGCGGAAGCATAAACCGCTGCAGTCAAAGCAACTCTCGCACTTGGTGCGAGTGTGTCCCGCGGCTAGGCAATTGAAGCACCTCATCGGCCTCGCGGCCAGAACCGTGATTCTGGCATTCACGAAGCCGACGAGCATGCTTCCGGCGTCGCCCAACGCTTTGGCCGCCGCCACGGGACAACTCACCCACACCGCACCGAGGCCTCCCGGACCCGGACGGACGGACGGACTCTGATGGTGTCCGCGGTGCACCCAGTCTTCTCCATGACTGCATCGCGGACATCCTCCGACGTTATGGAGTCGTCCAGGCCCGAGATGCGCAGTTCCGCGCATTTGGTGTGCCTGGCGATCTTAACACCGTCCGTGGCGGCGAAAATTCCCCTCAACTTCTCGGCGAATTTGTCGGCCGTCGCCGCGCCTTCCGCCCCAGGGAACTCGAAAACCCGAGCTCCCGTCTGGGCGCGGCGCAGCCTCATCCCCGCCTCCCCGAACTCAGTGGCGAGACCGGGCCGGGCCCCCTTGAAGAGGGCCGCATACGTGAGCCCGCCACAGGCCGCCTCCGGCGACAGCGTCACTACTACAGCCGCGGTTTTGGGCGGCTGCAGCTTCCGCGGCCTCTTTTTTGAGGCCGTTGCCACCGGAGGCGAAGGCTGGGCTTGGGCTGCTTTCTGAGCAGCCCTTCTAGCCCTCCTTCGGGACTTCTTTGAGCCCCTCGCCTCCTGCCAACCCTCGTTGGAGGGGGCAGGTGCGGAGGGGCCCGGCAGGGATGTCGGAGCGGGGAGCGGAGGGAAAGCCACTCCGCTCCTCTTCGCCGCTTTACTCTTGGCCGGCACCTGGGCCGGCGCCTTGGCCGGTGCCTGGGCCGGCGCCTTGACTGTCGCCTGGGCCGGTGCCTTGGCCGCTCTTCTCGGCCCCTGGCTAGCCGGTGGTGGAGTCGGGGCCGACGCCGACGCCGCCGCCGCGTATGACACGCGGCCTCCCATAACAGGGAGCGCAGTCGGAGCAGCAGCCTTAGGCCGCTGCGACGACGCGAGCGGGGGGCGCACGACCGGCGCAGGAGGCAGTCTCGCCTCCAGACCGGCCAGACGGCCGTCCAGCATACGCCCAACTGCGTCAAGAATTGACCGCAGTTGGGCGTCAGGCACCCCTGAGGTCGCGGTAGGGACAGGCTGGGGCGTGGACGGGGCCCCCCGCTCGGGGAGGTTCGCCCGGAAGCGGGCGAACTGAGCGCTCAGCCCGTTCACCTGCTCCGTCAGCCTGTCATTGGCCATCTGTAGGCGAGACACGTCGCCTACTAGGCCCTCCACGACCTCCGACATGGCGGAGGAGGAGTCCTTAAGGGCCCTCACAAAAGAGCCCTTAAGGTTAACCGACTTGGTGGCTACCTTCTGGATGATAGCCACCGCCGCTCTCGCCCTCTCCTGCATAGACACGGGAGCCCGGGGGGCATCTCCCTCCACCGGCTCCCGAATCTTGAGCAGGAGATCCGCGATCTCCTCCTCCGCTGCGGCCTCGCCGTCCGCTCGTACCCGTCTGTAGGAATCCGCCTTGGAGAAGGCGGAGCCTGACGGGACGGGGACAGGGGTACGCGACCTCCCTATACGGCCGCCCTTAGGAGGCCCAGACTCCACGGATGGGTTGTCTTCCCCATCCCGCGAGAGTTCCCGCTTCCGGCTCTCGCTCGGTCCCGCTTCCACCTCCATGCGCTCCGAGCTGTCCGTCCTCTCGCTGGGGCCTTCACCTGCGCCAGTAGTGGCAGATTTGGAGCGCAAGCGCTCCGATCTTCGGCTCCCAGCAGTCAGTCTACTACAGACTACTACTGGGAGCCCCACCGAGATAGGCGCTCCAGACACTAACTGACTTGTGGGTGTGGACGACAGATCCACTCCACCAGTCTTCTTCACCTCCTTGCTTCCCACCGTTCCTTTTTCCGTTGTGCTTGCCTTTGTCGTCGTTGAAATCGATCCTAATCTTTTAAGTTTTTCGTCATTTCCCATAATTGAACCCACGAGTGGGGGAGAACTAAAGGTCCACCCGGGCAGAGATCCCCCAATACCCGGGCAAGCGTAAATTTATGCCCAACCGAGGGGTCCGCAAGTGCCCCGGCTGGGAGTGCGCTTACGACTGAACTACCCATCAGCCATGCATCCCCTGGCCACGCACCAGAACACGGGATTCGGGGAATTTTTTAGAGAGGTTTACATCCTCGCGGTCCGGGCGGTTAAGCCAAGACCCTCGTCCCCGATCAGAGCCGCGAGACTTGACCACAGCGCTCTTCTCGGGATTACGATATGCCGACGGTGACAAGGAGACTACGTCCCTCTGCCTGCTCGGTGGTAGTGTCAGTACACGCCGAGCCCGTCCTCCTTTCTCCACCGCTAACAGCGGAGAAACTGGCCCCTATAGGGCCCCACCTTCTGGTTTTTTACCGAGGTTTCCTCCTCCATGCTCCGAAGAGCGGAAAGCCAGCAGGGCAACCGGCAGACACGCCCACCCTGCTGGACAGGGCCTTGCCCGAGAGCCGATAAACGGCTTCCTCTTCTGCTAGAATATTAGCTGCTGGCGATAATCCTCTCCTCCAAGAGAACAAGGAGAAAACAGTGCCATCGCCAGCGTTTCCAGGGTGCACCACGGGGAGGTTTTCTAGCATAGCACCCCTTAAGGGACTTCCCTAATGCAACCATTAGGCTGCAACCGTCTGTGGTTTGAGCGACGATGTCATTTGTTAGAGATACCCCATATTCGTCCAACTTGGCCTCAATCGATTTTACGCATGAGGCTGCATTCATGGACCCGTGAATGCGTATGAGACCTAGATTTCGAAAACTGCTATCCCTTGCAAAATTTGGTGAATGTAAAGTGAGCCCTATATATCTTCTATTTTTAATGGATGTCCATTCATCGAATGATATCGAAAACTTATTTTCATCTAACAGTATAATTTTTATCTCGTTGATTATTTCTAGCTTCCTTTTAGCAAAGTCTTTGAGAATTATGTTGCGAACGGTATCAGCAGTAGTGGGTAATTTGTTGCCGGTCTTTTCAAAAAGGTACTTTAAATCTTGAGATTTTGAGAACGTTCTAAGAGGAATTCCATCAACTGCAGCCATACGAGACACCATAACCTGCATACTTGGGTTTGCATCAGTCTTAATATAGTGTGTCAACTTAGTTTTCTTTTTTGGCGCTTCGGGAATTTCTTTTGAAGAAGATGCACTACCTTGAGCTGTTGTTTCGATTGTTGAATGCCTTGCCTCCATATCTTATTGATTTATGGTCAACGAAGGGGATTCATCTGAAAGGAAACTTAGTTTTATTATAATAATAGCAATCGTATTTTTTCACGTTGTAATGCTTGCAGGCAACGGCTGCGCGGCCGTACCTATTCATGGTTAGTTAGCACTAGTATTACATTAAAATATTAGCAATAAAAATCGGATATAAATACCAAAAAAAAAGTTCAAATACACCTAAAAATAGCGCGACGAGTGGCGGACGACATCACGTCAATATATCAAATAATTGGATTAGTTACATTAGAATCCTAGAACAACAAGCTAAAACTGTAAGTTACGTTTTATTGAATAACAAAATGAATTTAGTAGATACTCACGGATAAACAAAATGGCGGAGGTGTTCATCACCCGCGCAACGCGCGACGAGCTTCGCTTCACCCTCCCCTCTCCACTGCTCCACAGTTCACCCCATTCATGTCCTAAAATGGACGCGCGCGTTCCATTTAATTGCATGGATTGTTTTGAAGCTACTTTTTACGTAATAAATAATAATTTATCAAAGCGTGTTTTTATTTCATTTACTTATTATTGCATTCGAAGTGGCTTAAACTTAATAAATAACAAAAACAAAAGTATTAAAAAAAAACCCGAAAAACCCGAGTTTCAAAAATCAAACCCGGGTTTTTTTGTAATCCTCAGAACCGGGAAAACCCGGGTTTTTTCGGTCCGGGTAAACCCGGGCTCGATGCCCTATTCCTTATATATAAAAACTTTGTCTTTATTGTGGCGTGATGCCGGTACGGGTTGCAATTTAGTTGCAAACCTTTGCAACCGCGCCGTGAAGTCCGATATATCAGTTTTGTGTTGAACCGTTCCCTGGAAAAACTCACCAGGTAGACACAACGGTTCACCATACACCAATTCGGCTGAAGATGACCTTAAGACGTCTTTAAAAGAGCTTCTTATGCCCAAGAGTACCAGGGGTAACATGTCTACCCAGTTGTTGTCAGCGTGGCACATAATGGCTGATTTAAGCTGGCGATGGAAACGCTCGACTAAGCCATTGCTAGAAGGGTGGTATGCCGTGGTTCTACGGTGTTTGAATCCAATCATTTTTCCCAAATATAGGAAAAGTGATGATTGAAACTGTCGGCCGCGGTCGGTGATAATATCTGTTGGACATCCAAACCTTGATATCCATGATATTAACGCCTTTCCAACCGTCTCGGCAGTCATATCCACCATTGGCACAACCTCTGGCCAGCGTGTATAGCGGTCTACAGCTGTAAAACAGTAGCGGTACCCTTGGGAAATGGGTAACGGACCAACTATGTCAACATGAATAAATGCAAATCGCACGCGAGGTAAATCGAATGTCCCTAACGGTGAGGACACATGACGATGTACCTTGGCGCGTTGACATGCGTGACATTGACGTGACCACTCGCGACAGTCTTTGCGCACACCAGGCCAAACAAAACGCTCAACTACCAGTTTAGCAGTTGCGTTGGCGCCTGGGTGGCTAAGACTATGAAGACTGTCGAAGACTTGTCGTCTCAGTGGTTTAGGGACAAAGGGTCTAGGTGAGGGAGTACTGACGTCACAGTATAGTTGTGATTGAGAGTCAGGGATCCTCATTCTCACCAGACGAAGTGAAGATTCTTCACCTAAAAACTGATTCAGCTCTTCATCAGCAGCTTGGGATGAAGCCAAGACATCCAAATCGACTGGTATCTGCAGTTCGGCGACACGAGACAGTGGGTCGGCGACGACGTTGTCTTTACCAGAAATATGCCTGATATCTGTGGTAAACTGCGATATGTAGTCGAGATGGCGGAACTGTCGAGGCGAGCAATTAGCTTTCCTTTCGCTGAAAGCAAAACTAAGCGGCTTGTGGTCAGTGTATACTACGAAATGCCTAGCTTCCAACATGTGGCGGAAGTATTTGATGCTTTCGTAAATGGCCAAAAGCTCGCGGTCGTACGGTGAATATTTTTGCTGAGAGGGACTCAACTTTCGGGAGAAAAATGCTAAAGGCTCCCATATTCCGTCTACAAATTGCTGTAGAACTGCACCCATTGCCAGGTCAGATGCGTCTGTTACTAACGCTAGTTCTGCTTGACAATTAGGGTGAGCCAGTAATGCGGCGTTAGAGAGGCTTTCCTTGCATTGGTTAAAGGGTAACAAGGCCTCGCCGGAGATATTAACCGGGTGGGAGGCTTTAACAGAACCAGCGAGGAGAGCATTTAAAGGGGCCTGAACTGCAGCGAAATGGGGCACGAAACGCCTGTAAAAATTGAGCATCCCCAAAAATCGTCTTAGTTGTCGGACGCTTTTGGGCAGAGGGAAATCCTTAATAGCCTGGACCTTGGACTCTAAAGGTTTAGTACCAGCTGCTGAAATATGGTATCCTAAAAAGGTTACTTCGCTAACGCCGAAGACGCATTTGGAAGTGTTAACTAGGACACCGTATTCCTTCATTCGGCTGAAGAGCTGATGAAGGTGAGCTTCGTGGTCTTTTTAGAGAAGACTAAATAATCGTCTAAGAATGGGTAGCAAAAATCTAAACCTCTAGTCATTTCATCTACAAACCTCTGGAAAGTTTACAAAGCATTGCGCAAACCAAAACTCATGAATGGAAATTCGAACAGGCCAAAGGGTGTGGTTATGGCTGTTTTAGGAATATCAGCTTCATGAAGTGGTATCTGGTTAAAAGCTTTTGTCAAATCGACGGTAGAAAATATTGTACAACCAGAAATAGAGTGGGAAAAATCGTGGATGTGCCTAATCGGGTAACGGTCTGCAATGGTCCGTGCGTTGAGCATACGGTAATCGCCACAAGGGCGCCAGCCATTATCCTTCTTAGGCACTAGGTGTAGGGGTGAGGCCCAGGGACTTTCAGAAGGACGGGCCGTCCCATTGTCCAACATAAGCTGAAATTCCTGTCTGGCAATTTTTAGTTTATCTGGTGCCAGTCTGCGGGGAATACATGATATAGGAGGACCAGGTGTAGTCCTGATGTGGTGTACTGTGTTATGTTTCACAAGTGTGGGTGTACCTGAAGGGCGTGTAATGTCAGGAAACTTACTCAGAATCTTGTGAAAACGCGTGTCGCCCGTCGAGACCTTAACAGAAAATATATTAGAACGAGCAATACAAGCATTAGTACAAAGGGTTGTGGTAGTATCCACTAAGCGTGGGGTGCTAGCTAGAAAACCTCCCCGTGGTGCACCCTGGAAACGCTGGCGATGGCACTGTTTCCTCCTTGTCTTCTTGGAGGAGAGGATTATCGCCAGCGGCTAATATTCTAGCAGAAGAGGTAGCCGTTCATCGGCTCTCGGGCAAGGCCTGGTCCAGCAGGGCGGGCGTGTCTGCCGGTTGCCCTGCTGGCTCTTCGCTCTTCGGAGCATGGAGGAGGAAACCTCGGTAAAAAACCAGAGGGTGGGGCCCTATAGGGGCCAGTTTCTCCGCTGGAGAAAGGAGGACGGGCTCGGCGTGTATTGACACTACCACCGAGCAGGCAGGGGGACGTAGTCTCCTTGTCACCGTCGGCATATCGTAATCCCGAGAAGAGCGCTGTGGTCAAGTCTCGCGGCTCTGATCGGGGACGAGGGTCTTGGCTTAACCGCCCGGACCGCGAGGATGTAAACCTCTCTAAAAAATTCCCCGAATCCCGTGTTTTGGTGCGTGGCCAGGGGATGCATGGCTGATGGGTAGTTCAGTCGTAAGCGCACTCCCAGCCGGGGCACTTGCGGACCCCTCGGTTGGGCATAAATTTACGCTTACCCGGGTATTGGGGGATCTCTGCCCGGGTGGACCTTTAGTTCTCCCCCACTCGTGGGTTTAAATATGGAAGATGAAATAAAAATTATAAGAAACAAAGGATCGAAACAAAATACGACTAAGGCAAGCAAACTGGAAAAGGAATCGGTGGGAAGCAGGGAGTTCAGGAAGACTGGTGGAGTGGATTTGTCGTCCACATCCACAAGTGAGGTGGTGTTGGGAACGCCTATCTCGGTGGGGCTCCCAGTAGTAGTCTGTAGTAGACTGACTGCTGGGAGCCGAAGATGGGAGCGCTTGCGCTCCAAATCTGCCACGACTGGCGTGGGTGAAGGCCCCAGCGAGAGGACAAACAGCTCGGAGCGCATGGAGGTGGAAGCGGGACCGAGCGAGAGCCGCAAGAGGGAACTCTCGAGGGATGGGGAAGAACACCCATCCGTGGAGTCTGGGCCTCCTAAGGGCGGTCGTATAGGGAGGTCGCGTACCCCTGTCCCCGTCCCGTCAGGGTCCGCCTTCTCCAAGGCGGATTCCTACAGACGGGTACGAGCGGACGGCGAGGCCGCAGCGGAGGAGGAGATCGCGGATCTCCTGCTCAAGATTCGGGAGCCGGTGGAGGGAGACGCCCCCCGAGCTCCCGTGTCTGTGCAGGAGAGGGCGAGGGCGGCGGTGGCTATCGTCCAGAAGGTAGCCACCAAGTCAGTTAACCTTAACGGCTCTTTTGTGAGGGCCCTTAAGGACTCCTCCTCCGCTATGTCGGAGGTCGTGGAGGGCCTAGTAGGCGACGTGTCTCGCCTACAGATGGCCAATGACAGGCTGACGGAGCAGGTGAACGCACTGAGCGCTCAGTTCGCCCGCTTCCGGGCGAACCTCCCCGAGCGGGGGGCCCCGTCCACGCCTCAGCCTGTCCCTACCGCGACCTCAGGGGTGCCTGACGCCCAACTGCGGTCAATTCTTGACGCGGTTGGGCGTATGCTAGACGGCCGTCTGGCCGGTCTGGAGGCAAGACTGCCCCCTGCGCCGGTCGTGCGCCCCCCGCTCGCGTCGTCGCAGCGGCCTAAGGCCGCTGCTTTGACTGCGCTCCCCGTAGTGGGAGGCCGCGTGTCCTACGCGGCGTCGGCGTCGGCCCCGACTCCACCGGCTCCCCAGGGGCCGAGGAAGGGGGCCAAGGCACCGGCCCGGGCGCCAGCGAAGGCGCCGGCTCAAGCACCGGCCAAGGCGCCGGCCCAGGTGCCGGCCAAGACGGG